CTATGGGGGCCGTAGCCGAGGTTTAAGGTTTGGGGCTTGTGCCCATGAGTCTTCAGCATTCTACTTTCGGCCCCGGCCCTTCGATCAGGATGTGGCGGGTACTGCTGGATGGGAGCCGGTGCTTGCGAGTGGGTTGCTTCCCAGTTTAGGGTTTGGGGTTTTAGGGTTTAGAGGTTTGGGTTTAGGGTTTACCCAAGTCCAAGCATTAATGCGCCTGGACTGAACACTGTAGACTATGAAGAGTTGGGAAACCTGTTTCTACCTATTGAGACTCCTAAAATCCTGACACATCCCCCCCCCCTCCCCCCGCCCATGCTTCTCAGGATTGCATGTAGAGGTCAGTAGCTTTGGGCCTGCAGCGGTTTAAGGTTATAGGCGCTGAGTATTGGGCTTGGCATTGGTGTTGGGGTTTCACGTTTTACCTGGGGTTGGTATCTCCGGGCTGAAATGGGGCTATATGCTTCCCCCGGCCCCCCCTGTGGTGTGGTGTGGTGTGGTGTGGTGTGGTGGGTTGTGGGTTTCAGGTTTAGTTTAATGTTTAACATTCCCCCTTCCCTGTGGTGTCATGCTATCGGCAGAACGCACGAAACCTTTTGTACACCTGAGCAAACGAGTAGCAGTAGAGTCAGTCGAGTATACAGTTATGGTACACGACATACGTACAACTACAGACTACAGTAAAAGCACCCCCCGCGAATTGAAGCGCAGCGGAGGAAGCATACAAGAAGCTCTACGCTACACTCGTATGACAGCACAGACGCTTGGCGTGGCATGCAAAAGAAACTGACTGTATGTGCAATGCTACCTACCCCTACTCAGAATCATACCAACCCGTCAGGCTGGTGTAGATCTGGCATGGCGAACCGAGCTTGGGATTGTGACCAACACACCAGTCCGGTGCAATGCAGAAAGTCTAAAATGGCAGGGCAGAAGCCCCTTCAAATGTGACGCCCGCATTTGATGTCGTGCGAGTTGCGAGCACCTTCCGGTGTCGGACGCCGCGGGGCTATGGCTCTGTAGTAGGCCCTATAAGTGGCGGCATCCACACGGAACACATGCCATCCAGGGAGGAACCAGACGACATGGTGAGTGTTTGATTCGATGCTGAACCGGGACCCTCCGGTAGCAGGAAACACATAAGGGACCTCCGGAGGAGGAATCTCTCCGATGTAACGGCCCCTCAGTACTGCCCAAAACCAGGAGTCCAAGCGGCTGTACGAAATCGGCATTGGCTCACTCGGGTCGAAGACCCCGCCGTGCTCGTCTCGCCACAAACGCAAGCGGTCTCCGGGAATGTCGGGAAGACATCTCGGAGATGTTCCATCTGCTCCCAGTTGGAAGCAGAAATGTAAGAAGTGGGATCGCGAGCAGCGCCAGCCGTCGGGCAGACCTTAGGCGGCCGTGGCGTGTTACGTCCGGCCTTCGGTGCAGCCGGAGGATCGTTGGAAGATCCAGGTGCTCCGCCAGGAGACCGCCCACACGCGGGTGGAGCAGGTGGCTTCATCACTGTTGGAGTCGGGAACCTTGCAGCTTTAGCAGCAGGCGGAGTGCTTCCAGTCCTTCCGGATGGAGTCGGTGATGGCAGAGGAACATGCATTTCTCCAGCAGGAATGGCTCCTCGCCTCATCCCACCGTCTCATTCAACCAGCTTCGCTTGCGATCAACGGAGAACCGCGTGCCCTTCAGGAGTGCCAGCATTTGACTATGTCCCATCGAGCCCAAAGCAGCGGGGATCTCAACAGCGTGATCCTGACTGATCACGACGGTAGCTGAGATATTGTTCCTACGCTCATCGTAGGTGATAGCAAAACCAACTTGGATCTGCGTCAATGCAGCCATGATATGCCTCGCAGTCCCCGTCAAGGGCTCGATCTCCTGGCCTTCATGGATCAAAATCGTAAAGGAATCCAGTCGAGGGCGCAGGTCCTGAGCAATCTGAGCCGCTTTGATCAGCACTGCAGCTTCGGTCATCACGTAAAAACGGTCTTGGAAGCAAAAATAGCAGTGCTGGGCAAGCTGAATCTGCATTGGGCTGCCTGGAACATAGCCTGGTGCCCGCACGATCATTCGGAGCAGGGAAGATGTATGCAACACGAGCGTCAGCCGTGTGAGAACCCTGAAAAGCCTTCTTGGCTTCGGTGTCCCGCCCCGGGTTGGGGATCCGGACCCTTGCAAGCATTTCTCCTCGATTGAGCGAAGAGTCATGCCTTTCAACATGAAATTCCATGCGGTGAAAGGCTCATTTGCTAGCTTGGTGGGCATGGCCTGTCTGTCCACATTTCAAACACTTGCTTCGGGACTTAAATCTCCTGAAGACGCTTCTTCCGATCCTCAACAAAAAGATTGCTTCTCACAACAGGAAGTCCCTTCTTCCCTTTACCACCTGGCGACTCTGGCGACCCCTTGCCTCTACCGGCCTTGCCCATTACCATATGAGCTGTGCACTGAAGCTGAACCGCCTCGGCTGTCGCATCAGGGAAGTTCTCGAAGTCGCATTCCTCCAACGCGTTCAAGGGCACGTTTCCTCATCGGAAGCGGTTTGTTCCTCTTCACCAGTGTACCGCGTGGGCTGCCCTGGCAAATCAGTCCAGACATTCCAGCCTTCCTCATTTTCATCATCACCATGATCATCGGCATACTATGCTTCGTCATCGTGATCATCGGTCCTATGTTCTTGCGATACATAGGCCGTATCTGCACTGCCACTCACATCGTTCCATTGCTTGATACCCGTACTTTGCAGACCCTTTGGGCTGCCACCTCCGTTGGTCCTTCTGATTTCCAGCATTGCGATGTAAAGCAGGGTCAAGCAGCTTGTTACCGCGTAAGTGAATCAAACCGTGATGCTCCGTCATGATTCTCGCATAGGTATCGAACTCATGAACGCCCGCTGCGCAAGCCTTTACCATGAGTTGCAGATCACGCGACAACCCGCTCAACTCCAATAGCAACTCCCTCTCAAACTGTCCGAAAGGGAGATCCTGGGATCAAGTTGCGTCATGAGAGTCCACCACCTCCGGCGTCTCCCCATGTAGGAAACAATGGATTCGCCCACTTCTGAACAAAGTCTCTGCCCCGAGGTTCTCAATCTGCGGGGTGCTGACAAGGCTGCGATCCCAATATCCTTCGCCTTCTGACATGCATCCCCTCGAAGATCTTCCACGACCCGAAGAACTGTCTCAACTGACCCATCATCGGAGCTGCTCTCATGCGGATTCTGCGGCGCGGCCGGCACTGACCCTATGAATCCCTCTCCTGTAGCTGGAGCTCCCTTCCGCCCGGGGAGATCTCCTTCGGAGCCGCCTGATGACTCGAACGAAGACTTCTTCTTGCGACGCTTCTCCTGCTGTTCATGTGCCACTATTCTGAGCTCCGTACGAAACTCCCATTCGTGGTAGTCAGCAGGATTGATTTCCGGCACAGATGAAAACTCCGTTCTTTGTCACTGCGGGCATGGCAAAGTAAAGTTTGTTCCGAAACCGTAGGCCTGCAACGGTCATGCCGAGTCATGACTGATCTCCTTCCCGAATGTTTAAGTGCCAGCCAAACCTGCCCTGTGCTCAGCTTTGCACACGCTGCCTCGCCGAACTCAAGGCTTTCCACACTAGCTCAGTTCACTCCCAAACCAACCAAATCCAAAGGCCACTAGGGCCCCTGCGCTAGGAGGGGCACAGCTTCGCTACCATTTAGCGTTCAATCGCGCTCCGGACACTACTTTTTACATCTTTGGCTCAAGAGCCCTTCGAGAGGTCATAGAGACGGTGAAGCACAAGTTCCTGCACAAGACCGTCACTTGCTCTTCACACGAAAAAGGCACGCACTCAAGCTATACATGAAAGAATGAGGAGAGATTCTCAACATTTAAGCAACCACCGGGCATCTGTAGTCCCAAACTCCAGAAACGAGTCCATTTCGTTTCCGTGGCGTCGCTTTGTATCTGCAGCCTGTCAACCCTTTTCAGCCGGTCGAAATTGGTCTCCAACCTTCAGCCGAAAGGGCTGCCTCATGCCGCAGAGCGATGTAGACATGCTCATGTTTTGTTGATTACTTCCGTCATTGCTCGTGCGCTCTGAAGCTGCGGAGCTCAATGGAAATCGTGGATTGACGGCTTCTGTGCTCCGGCAACCGCAAACAAGAATGGCTGCAACCCGAAATGTGTCGCTACCTACGCCCGTGAACACTCAACCCTGACGCTCGTATTGAACACGGAAGGCTCGCCGCTTCCATTCAAGTTGGCGACGATTTAGCCAGTCCGCAGCACTCAACTTGTGAACAAGTCATAGCTATGTCTATCCGGATGACGCTTAAAGGTTTAGGGGTGATTCCCTAGCAGGGAGACATACCCCAGACATGCTTCAGGATTGGTTAAGGGCAGGCGTGCTTCGTGTATTGTGGGTTTAGAATTTGGAAGGAGGATTGTCTTTTTTATCAGGTGGCTTGAGATTTGCTTCAACAGCAGGGGGGGCATAGGATGTGGTGGATGAGGGCGGTGCTGCCGGTTTTTGCAACTTATGCTGGGGCTTTGCATAGTGGAGGTGTTGCTTTAGACAAGGGAGTTGCAGGCCGAGCTGGGGCCCATGGCCGATCATGGCCGATCATGGCCGAATGGGCCAAGACCGGTAGTTTTGGCCTGAACTTGGGGTTTGGGAGGTGGGACATCGATTAGAAAAGAGCAGGTGGGTACAGGATGTGCCGTCCGCGGTCTGCCATTGCCTCCTGGCATGGCCACCCCACCCCATGTCCTTGTTCAGTCCTAGGGTTACGCAAATGAGGCAAAGGGGGCGAGTTGTAACTTAGTAAGTCAAGTTTTCAGAGGCAAGTGGGTCAATTCCGGACGACACGTGCAAGTAGTGCAAAAACAGACTGTGCCTTCTGCTGGAACTCACAACGCAACAGCATCGTTCCAAATTCCACGTTGCAGCTGTGCCAAGGCATATTCGGTTCGTGATCAGTGAAGCTGCAAGTCTGTGTATGATGAATTATAAGTCTTTCGTGCACTGCTATGAAACTTTCCGCTCCTGGGGTCCAACACCCTCGCCTTCTGCTCGATCGTGGTCCATGCATGCCTCAAGCGAGCGGCACATTGAGCTATCAGCATGCAGAAAGGAGGCCTATAAGGTTGTGCAGGCCTGCCCATCCACCTCACCTCAGTGGACGCATCCAACTGGTTGGGGGCATAAGTCCTTGCGAGGAGGAGGGGATGCAGGCAAGCGGCTGTAAATAGTCGGTCTCTTTCCAAACCCAATCTTTTCGGATTGCTTCAGCTTCCTGGCTGCCATGCAAAGATGCGTGTGAGCCGAAGCATGTCAGCTGCAAGTCTAGCCAGGTTCTCCTGAATTGCCAACGGATAAAACTATCCTGTGAACACACAGCACGATATCCGAGAGGCAGACATATTCGGACGTATTCAGACAATTAAGTGGGTGGCGTAGAAGCTGTTCGCAGATGTCGTGATGAACCTTGGGGCATCGCTGCACAACCTGTAATAGCGCATGCCCAACCCTCTCGCCTCACCACGTGTTTCGAAGACTACGACATATTTCTGATACACGGATGCTAACCCTCTCAGCGTTCAACGATCGGCGGAAGTCGACTGGTGTGCCCAGGCGTTTCAGGTCACGGACACCAAGAGGCGGAAAATACTGCAGCCTCACAGCTCCGGCCGCTGTACTTTGCCAACTACGCGCAGTGGTTGGGCTGGGGCCAGTATGAAGGATCAACGAACCTTGATGCAGCAAGCACAGAGCCAGCAAGACCCCAGCACGTCTCACATGCCAACATCCTAGGCACAGCACTTCGGAATGTCTTCAGGAGACAGACCCATTGCCTCTCACATAGGCAACACTCCATGCTGGAGCAGCTCACGCCTGCATGCAGGACCTGACAGAAACCCGTCCTTCATGATCTCGTACTGGAATGCTGCGTCACCGCTCTTGGCAAGGATTTTCTTTGCTACACGCTTTCCACCTGCAGCGCCTCGGGGACACCGAGGCTTGCGACCAGTGCTCCAAGGAAGGCATATCAGCATCAGAGCCAGACCACTCTTCTTGTCTTTGGGTGCTGCATCAACAGAAACTTGATCTGACTCTGGGCTGGGGGGACATGAAGAGCCGTCCTGGCAATTCGCTTCATATACGAAAACAAGAAAGGCAGACTTCTGCTGGTGTTCCTCCAAGACGGCGATGACCTTGTGTTCCGAAGAGCCAGCTCGGCCAGGCCAGAAGACCGCTAACAATGCACCTGCCTTGTAGACGCAACCTCCACCCTCGATGGGCAGAACAGTCCGGACTTTGTTGCCAGCCGCCTTGAGTTCCTGCAAGATGGTCTGCAACGAAGGTATTAGCATCCAATTCGTGCAGAGTTCCGTACCGGATGCCTCGGGGCTCGGGGGTTGCATTTTCTTGACGACCTTGAAGTCTTGATCCTGGACCTGATGGCATCACGCAGCTGCCCTTAAACATGTTAAAGTAGAATGCAGAGTTGCCAGGTCAGTCAAGCCTTCATGTGCACGACATACTCTTTGACGGCCTCTGTCTCCAAGCCACTGCAGCTTGAAGGCACTGGGAGGTTGTCTTGCCTTCTTGCCCGTCGATGCTGGGGGCTTCCACTGCATGGTGACGCCATCATCATCGATCTCAATGACGTCGGGCGACGACTCCTGCGTGCACTTGGGTGGATGTAAAGAGAATTGGGGATCGGCAGAGAAAGCTCTCGAGCCTTGGGCTGCGGACGTCCGGGCGGAAAGATTGGATATGGCTTGCCATACACATCGAACCTAAGCTGGCGGCGCTTCGGTCTAGTCGTGGACATACCGAGATGGGAAGCCAGCTCCCTCGCCAGCTTGTTGGCTGCAGCCTGCACACTCATGGACAATGAAAGAGACAACAGATCCACACGGATCTCGAAAGCCTGGATTGGCATGCCTGTACAATGGAAGCCGAAAGGGAATAAGACCTGTCAAGAGAAGGCGAGCTACAGCCGTGGGTCAGCAGCCATCTCGCTTCAGGCACCTTCTTTCCAAGCAAGCGATTGAAGTGCGCGGCAAAGATTGCCTTCCTTGGGATGCGCAGGCCCCTGGACACTTGGAAAGTTCTTGCGTGGCTTAAGCCACGCAAATGCTTGCGACCAGGAGTCGTCAAGGAGAAAGCATGGCCGATGTGTAGCAGGCCATTCCTCGTCAAACGATGCGCATCAATGCCGGAAGAGAAGGCAAGTTCTCCAGAAAGCTCAGCAATGCATCCTAGACTCATGTACGGATACGGGAAAGTACACATGAACTTCTCGCTGCTGCTGTCAGGAGCATCACATTCGAAGATCTGCCAGCATGTACGAGTCAGGCTCTCATGGAGTTGACCATGATCCGAACAAGAGTTAGTGCATCACAACATTCAGAAAGCAAGTTGCGCATGAAGCTCAGAAGACTGGAAGCGTGGCCTTCTGCTTCTCCCACTTCTTCTGCACATCAGCTTCAATCTGCTGAAGCAGGTCTCTCCTGCAAGGCACCGGGCAGCCTGCTGACTGTGACGAAACATGAACATCGCAATCCTGAGGTCTGCCCCGGCACCCAGGATCCAATCCTCGCTGTGCTCTGCTTGCCGTCCGTCGCCATGGGCTTGCAAGTCCTCACAGAGGCTCTGGTATCAGATTCGCGCTTGCAAGATCCAGCTTCTCCTCGCCGGTGCTGTACACCGCACGCGTGAGATAGACAACCTCTGATCTACGAGCTTGCAGGTAGCAGAGCCTCGCTTCCGGTTTGAGGACTCGACACTCTGCGGCCCAGCAAAGGGACTGCTAGCATCAAGGCCCGGGGCCCTCAAAACTTCGGACCACGAGTGCGAACGGGAACAGGCTGTTCGGACCTGCTGAGGCTCTGCCCTTCTGCCAATCAGGCTGCACACTGCACCTTCTCTTTTCACGTGTTCGCGCAGACTGTGGGCGCTATCGAACCGCAGGGTGTGTCCAGCCTATCGATGGGCACACCTCTGCCACGAGTTTTGCTCAGACATGTACCAACAACTAGGATGCATTGACAGCCACACCCATTAAAGGCCCGTCTTGGGCCCGCAAACATTTCTGTTTCCGGGAGCAGTGCCAGTTTTTTCAATACCCATAGTTGTATTCCTTAGGTCTGAATCGGGCAGCATTGTTCCGTGATGCACACACGAGAAGTCGACATTGTTCTTGCAGACAATGCTCTGCACGGTTGTGCATCACGAGGCGCCTGTCGACAAAGTAGAAGCCTCAGAAGAGGTACATGAAGCTTGTGGGGGAAGGAGGTTTGGCAAGCGATTCTAGCACGCAAGCTCACTCCCTTCTTCCAGACAAGTACAAGCCTCTCCTCCCTCTGGTCCGCTGAGGTGCTATCAGATCGAACTTCCCAAGGGCTGCTGATCAGTGCTTCCTGCAAACAGACACAAACAAAGACACTGAACTCTGCTTCCACGCAGTCCCGCACCTTCCACTCGTCGCTGAGCTCCGGTTTGGTATAAATCATCTCCCAAGTATTCCTGTCCAGCAAGAGCGCTGAAAAAGAGTGATTGTGTTGACACGAAGGCCAGCATCCTGGTGTTCGGGATTACGAAGGGCATGGTGAAGTCATAGCCTTGAAAGCTGCCCACAAGGTGCCTACCCTGGAATGTCCCAGTAGTGAATCGGCTCCCGTAAATTGCCGTGTTGGAGCTAGTAATCAATTGATCGCGAAAATAATGTCGCTCGATCATTCGGAAGTTTTGCACCTCATAGTCACCTTAGGGTCTGCTGGCCACATGTAAGCAGCGAGGAAGAAACCAGGTGCAGACAGGCGACCATTGGTGAACTCAAGAGTTGTACCAATGGTTTGGATATCGAGGAACCTTACCGACTTGGTGGTCCTCTACTGCTGCACCGAACCACGGCGAGTGTCTTGTGCCATTTGCTCCAAGCATCTGGGGACCGAAATGGTAGCGGATAAATCGGCCGGTGTTCTGCACACGGTGGGGGCAACAAGCAACAATGCAAGCTAGAGCAGAGTGTGCCTCACTAAGCTCTGGTGGAATCGGAGACGGACGGTCACCAGCACCAAGATCAAAAAGCACCTCACAACTCCTCTAGCAAGTGGCATCGGTGCTTGCGAAGATTGGTGCCGATCGAGGCAGTGATCCCTTCGTTGCCCTCGTCCAACGACCGGATCCTGAAATCAACCTTGACACGATGACGAACAAACCCGCGCATGTATGCTTCGAGATATCCTGAAATACTTCAAGGAGGGGCATGTTTTGGGAGTTGAATTGGAAAAGGGAAAGAAAGGTTTAAAAGTCTGTCTGCAGCAAGCTTCCCGCTGCAGATTGAGTTCTGGAGGACACGTCCAAAGCGCGTCTTCCCAGTCTATGAAAGGCACATTTCCGGCATGGTAGTGACTGGTAGTGACCCCCAGTGTGGCCGAGTTACAAACTGAAGGTTGTAGATGTTGTGCTCCCTTAGCGCCGATCGCCGAGCTCTTGGAACTAGACGCCTGAACTGCAGCTACCGAGTCTAGTGAGTCTAGCCCGTATAAGTGCCAAGGCTCAAATCACATAGGTAGCTTTCTGTCGGAGCAGTAAGCAGGTTCACGTACTCTGGCGTCACCTCGTACATCCTCCGTCCACAGGGCGGCCGGGGCGGGGCGGGCGGGGCGCTTGCCCCCCTGTTTTGGGGCCCCGGGCTCGCCGGGCTCGCCGTGCGTCTCGGCCTCCGCCTCCTCTTCGCGCCATTCGCTGGGTTCGAGGTCGACCTGCACACTTTGCCGCCATTCGCAAGCCAAGGCCTGCTCTTCTGCTGTTCTCCGAGTGGCCATAGCCATGTCCACTGCCTAGTGGCTTGTCATCAAGCTGTACAGCACCGATGCACCAAAGCTGCTGCCCAGTCTCCGCGACGAGGAGCACAGCGGGGGCTCCGGCTTTTTGCAGGAACACGGCTGCGGTTAAATAGCTCCAATGACGAGTGCAAGTCTGCTGGTGTGCGTGCACAGACCATGTGACTTTCAAAGTGGGGAGCAACTACGACCAACATCCCCCCCTTTGTCATGAATATGCGTTGCGAGTCTCGTCAGCAGCTGTCTCTCCAACCGCCTCATGGGACTTGCGCCCTGCATCCCGACAAGGCAGAGTTGTTGCCACCTCGGCACAGAGGGCGCGACCAGGCTGACGTTCGTTGCTTTAAGCGTTCAGGTGTGCAAGCCGGTCGGCATCACCATTCTCGAGTTTTGCTTTGCATCTCTGGAGCTCAGGCATTGGCAAGTTGCAGCCAGAAATGATCCATCAGTAATCTACGAGTGTATGTGTATAACTCATTCCTTCGAGTAGTCCTTTCATGTTGATAGTAGGTAGTTGACTGGCTGTAGCAAAGGCTTCAACCTTGCGACACTTCACTGCAAGAGTCATTTTACATTAATTAGGAATCAGCCGGCAGTCCGTTTCGCTGCTCAGTCAGCACCAGACCCGGCTCCGAACGCCCTCGTTGAAAGCTCCATGGGCACCAAGTTGCCTGCGCACCTTCAGCCGAAGGGCCTCTGTGGAAGCACCAATCGTGGTGTAAGCATTTGTGGAGGCGTGAAGCAGGGTCCCGCAACATACCCGTTCGCAGGAGAGCATCCATATGCATCGACTTCGCGAACCATAGCTGCTGGCACAAGTTGTGGCTGGAGCATACCTGGCATGTGCCGAACCCTTGGGGGTGTGGTGTCTTGTGGATGTGCCAAATATGCTGCTCCACAGACTGCAGGTGTCCGTCCTGGTGCGGCAGTCGCCGAAAGAGAACGGCGTGTGCTGCCAGGATCTTCGAGCTCCCTGGCTGTTGGCCCTGAACCCGCCGGACCACATCTGATGAGCCGGGAATCAGGCATCATCGCCGAGGAGCCGCGCGTGGAGCAGCTGTCAGGTGGCGGTTCCGCTCGGCTGACACAGGGTCCCGTGGAAGGAGTTGGAGGCATTCGGGGCACGGCATTCATGGTGCTCTTGTCCGGGGGCGTGGCGGAGAGCCGGTGCTGCGGGATGGCCGCTGATAAGTAAAGCGGAGCCGATCCACGTGCGGAGAGACCCGAGCAAGACGAGGGCGCTGGACTCGGAGGCACATGACCCAGACCCTTGATGTGTCTTTCCAAGGCTTTCGCTCGGGACTCCCACGATTGGCCAAAAGACGTCGCTTGCTGTAGCCGCTTCGTCAGGACATCTACCTCATCTTTGATGCGAATCTCAAGCCGTGAGATCCGATCCTCGAGCAGACTCATGTCACCGCTTCGCACCATGTCATCCTCCCCTGGTTTTACGATTCTGTAATTCATGCGTTTGGAGCCATCCAAGGCAGCCTCACATGCTTGCAGCCGCTGGTCCATGGAGTGCAGGAAGGAGGGTGGACGAGCGTCCCGGGCTCGGCAGGCATCCGCTGAGACCGGCTCCGCCACGGAGATGCTGACAGAACGCCGTGGGCTTGCAGACAGTGCCCGGGATTCGGCCCGTCCACGAATATCACGTATCTCAGCCGACACGCTCTTGGCCCCCTCGCCTTCCTTGAAGTCTAAGGCACGGCTTATCGGCAGTCCCCGCGAGCCACTGCCACTGCCACCTGCCTTCAGCAACCTGAGATGCCGAAGCGCAACAGGGATTGGCCGCGAACTGCCGTCGAATAGCACATCGCAATTGAGGGCCTCCTTGTCGACCTGCAGCACTCGACCTTGATCTCCTGCACCGAACGACGGAAAGTGTCGACCGTTCAGGACTACCACACGGCTCCCTTCGTCGATGCCCTCCCCAGGCTTGCTTTCTGAGTCGTCAGAACGATCCCGCATTGTGCGGCGGGACAAGAGGACCATGCCCTAGCACATGACTTGAAATCAATGTTGGGACCTGTGAAAACTTGCCACCAGGTAGTGTTGTTGAACAGTTCGTTTGCAGAGAAACATGAACAACAAATATCTGACGGGCCTCTTAGCTGAAGCGATATGCGCATACTAACATTGTGTCGAATCGCCACATGCTGTCCTAATGGACTACATACCGACCGAATGCCTGCACACATGTCCGACAATCTACAACCGCTTTTCTGACATGGCATCTGCTGGGCATATCAGAAACGCATTGTGCAGGCCGCTGGCTGAGCGATGCTTCGCACGAGCACACAAGAGTTTGCATGTTGTGCCAGGTGGCCGGTGCCAAGAGTACCCAGAGGGCATACCTCAAAACAGGGACAAATTCGCCTTGCAGCACACTGTAAGGAGCCTTAAGTAGCCTTGTGTTGCAGCTGCGTCACAGAGCGACAATGATCCATTCAGCGACGCTTTCCAAGGACAAACACCAACCTTTTTTGGAGTAGGTCAGTTGACGCAAGCCACTGCAGCGCACGTTGAAACTGCTTGCAGCGAGTCGCGATACTTCTCATAGAGGGACAGCTCTTCTTTCTGCAACCTGAGAACTACTGGGAGCATTTCAACCTGCTTTTTAAGCTCACAGGCCTCTACGCATTCTCATGCAGCTCAGCTTCTGCAAACTACGCGGCTCCTGGCTGAAATCTCCACCCCCACAGATCTTGTCACAGAAGTTGAAAGTGAATTGGACCTTGGCTCTGACGGATCATGCACGGCAACTAAACGTGCAGACGCTGTGCAAGAATAACGCAAATTACTGGCTGCCGGAGCACGCCGTAGATGGTCATAAGAATCCACAGCATCGTGCCCTCAGCTGCTTGCATTCCCAACGGCTTTGATGCAAACTTCCTTCGAACTCTCCCTAGCCGAGCATCTACTGCTGCCGGTAGCAAAAAAGGCCGCCGGCAATTGTCTGGCAAGCTGGCTACCAGCAGTCCTAATCACAAGCGGAGCCGAACAAGCGTCCACTGGATATCGGGTGCATATAAGCCACCGTAAAGGAAGAGCATCCAAATGCTCGCCAGAAAGAAAACGTAAGCCTCCCAGCGCAAATGCTATGTGTCTCCTGGGTGGGCAGTCCCAGACGCCACCAGGGATTTCTACGACGGGGCACGGCTGTGCGATGCACCAGCTTGTAGAAATGCGTTGGTATCCAGGCCACACCTACCTCAAATGCCGAAGACTGCAAAACGCTAAACAACTGCTGATTGACGCCTTTGGCGCAGAAGCCTGTGACAGTCAAGCCAGGTCAGGTGCAGCCGAAGTTCCAAGCCAATCATGGCCGATACTCCAAGGATACGCAGCAACTTACATCCTAGCAGCAGCCATGAAGCATTCGGCTCTGTGTACCTGGAGCACAGGACCGCTGATCAAAAGTCGGCTGCACAGAAACTTCAAATCAAGGTGCCACGCAAACTGAGCTTTGAAGTACCTGCAAAGCGCGTGCGTCTCGACTGTTGCTGAGACATGCCGGGTCACGGGCTCATCCTGCCTGCTCAGGAAAACAACATATATCGAGGAGAAAAGCGCGGACAGCGTCACGAGCTCGACCAGAAATTCAGGGAAATTGTAACCTTGTGCAGCCCACGTCTATCACGTGGCAGACAAGCAGCCGGATCTGATTTCAACTTCGCAGCTTCGTCCACCACCTCCATTGCATTCCAGGGCCGCAAGAAAACTGCTAAGCACAATGAAACAAGGCTTCACATCTAATCCTGCTTGGACACAAGCTGGTAGATCGCTGACTGGAATGATGAAGTTCAAGGCAGAATTCGCATAACCTTCTCTGCAGCACATATACAGATACAGCTACTGCCAAACGGCCAAAATGCCAGGTGAAATCTGCTCACACTGGACATGCAAGAACAAGCTCGAAAAGAACTTCTCACACGCAAGGTTTGCACAGAAACAGCCGATGCTTCTTCTCTGAACGTGTGCCGGGTGGCTGCAAGTTCCACGTCCGCTGAAGACCAGGTATCCTTTCACTTCGCGAGAGATAGAGTGAGAGCAGAGCAAGGGAGACAGAAGTTTATGCGAATTCACGGAGCACCACATCTCGTGCCAGCTTCTGTTTGTGGCGTCTCGGTGCGATGTCTGGAACTGCCATCCAGGCCAGTTCAACCCCCGCAGCAAGATCAACCATCACCGTAATGCGTGTATGAAGTGTCTGTCTATCTTTGTCTGTCCGTCTGCCTGTTTACACGCCTGGCACCCTGGCTGCCTGTCTCTCTGTCTGTCTGACTGCCTGTCTGTCCATGTCAGGCAAAGCAACACGGACAGACAGACAGACAGACGGACAGATCCAGACAGACAGATCCAGACAGACAGATCCAGACAGACAGCTCCAGACAGACAGATCGAGACGGACAGATCCAGACCGACAGATCCAGACAGACAGATCCAGACAGACAGATCCAGACAGACAGACAGACAGATCCAGACAAACAGATCCAGACAGACAGACAGACAGACAGGCAGGCAGGCAGGCAGGCAGGCAGGCAGGCAGGCAGGCAGGCAGGCAGGAGGCAGACAGGCAGACAGGCAGCCAGACAGCCAGGCAGCCAGGCAGACAGGCAGAGACAGGCAGACAGGCAGAGACAGTCAGACAGGCAGAAAGAGAGAGACAGAAAGGGTGAGACAGAAAGGGAGAAACAGACAGAGTGACAGACAGAGGCACAGACAGACAGACAGACAGACAGACAGACAGACAGGCAGACAGACAGACAGAAGGAAACAGTCAGAAAAAGTTGCCCCAGACGGTGGAGCTCCCGGGGCAGCCTTCAAAGCAGCTTTCATAAGGGCAATGCCCGCTGCTGAAGACGCACGGGCAGCGCCCGGAGTAAACGAAGAGGCCACTGGCCAGAAAGACGCGCAGACAGTGCCGCGCAAGTCCGTTTTCATTTAATCTTCGGGTAGCACACAAATGAACATCTTGCCGGAAGACATGGTGCTGCTGTGTCTGCAAGTGGTTCGAGCCGCACACGCCTGCAGTGCAGCGCTGCCGCGAGCCCCGCAACAGGGGCAGCGGACAGTTCTACTTCCGTCAGGTGACCGGAGAGAGGCGCGGAAAAGCGTAGCAGTGCCTGCGGTGTGGATTTACCCGCTGCAAAAGGTGCGCCAATGACTACAGGGGGAGGATGAAGTTCCCCGCATTGATGGGTTGACCAAGTACACTGGCACCCGTCACCCTACAAGGGGTTACCCGTGAGGACCTCGGCCACCAGTGGTAGCGACAGACAGACAGACGGACGGACGGACGGACGGACGGACGGAGACGGACAGACACAGACAGACAGACAGACAAACAAACAGACAAACACAGACAGAGAGACAGACACAGACAGCTAGGCAGGCAGGCAGGCAGACACAGAGACACAGACAGAGATACAGACACAGACACAGACAGGTCGACAGAGACAGAGAGACAGCGAAGTACCGGAGAGCAATGCGGGATTTCTTGCCAAGATCCTGCCCAGCCCAAGGGGATGAAGGCAAAACCAGCAGCAGCCTAAGTCTCACAATTCACAGAAGGACCTCTTTGCACCGACAAGATCGGAGGGCAATGGAAGCTTCTGGCGGGTATGATGAACGGCTGCCAGTGAAAGCCCAGTGTCGCCTTGGGTGTAGCATGGCATGTCTGCAATGCAAATGAGTCAGTCACTACAGTTACTAGAGGATGCCAGGATATGCCATTCGACAAGAACCGGTAATTCCAGCGCAGTTACAAACTGTGCCATCAGCACAATGGCGCGTGTAATCGAGAGCGCGCCGCCGCAGAAGTAAGTCAGAAGGACAAGGTCAATCCATCCCTTCGTTTCAGAGATTCTTCCATTTGGCCTGCATGCGCGACAAACCCAAGGCTTTGAGGAGATTGGTGGCTCGACAGCCAGGACAGGTCGCACGCCTGGCCGTCAGCTGCGAACCTAACTCGGAAGCAGCTTGCCTCGCTTCGCTCCTGTCCAAAAAGGGAGGTGTGCACAGCCTCACAGCTTCCGATCAAAACCATTGATCAGCGCGACCAGTCCTATGACTGTTGTCAATCTGTATGGTTTGTATGGCTTCTCCCACTGCTGCAGCGGCAGAGACGCTTAGGATCCGGCGCCTCAGCTGAGTCTAGCGGCTAGCGGCGGCTAACGCTCTTCCACAAGAACCCGCCAGTGCTGTCCAAAGTGCGAGGGTTGCAGCAACCGAATCTCCTCGCAGGGCACAGAAACCGAGGCGAGGCCGGTCCGCCACCCGACTTAGCGCCAAGATGCTGCGGTCGGTCCGCTTACGTCGGCGACCAGGGGGGTTTGCGCACTGGCCGCAAAAGCTGAACCCAGAATGCAACCTGAGTGACCCGCGAGATCCCGCGAGGCAATCTGCCGCTTTCGCCAGGAACATGCGTCACCAACATGTGTCATGCTGCACATTGCTCCTACATCTCGGGGATCAGCTTGCGACAACTTGTTGCTGCATTCAACCTCGGCGCGGGAGCACTGAGAGCTTCAAAACAGCAGCTAGTCCAGCCTAGTGCAGACAAGTCTCAGCAACCCGGACTGTTTCGGTATGCGGGTGGGGTTTGTGGCATTTGGAACCGAAACGCCTGCGAACACCTTGTCGGATGGCCGCATGCACGACTCAGAAACCCAACCGGAAACAAGCTTTTCGACAAAGTTCACCGATCCATCGCGAGATCTGCAGGTCATCCCAACGCCAGGCCTGGTTGCTTGTCACATCACCGAACATCTATGCAGCTCGCAACAGCCCTAGAGTCCCTGGAGTCGAGGCTCTGCCTCCTGCTTTGGCCAGCTCGGCTGGTGTTTCACCAGCCTGATGCACATGTTCACTCAGCCTGCAACCCGAGCACCTCAGAAGCTGCGATCTGTCTGCACTCGCGGCTCGCGATCAGCTCAGAGCTGCAATGATTCGGATGGGTGCCTCACCAGCACCCACCGAGCTGCAGAACGCTTGCTCCATTTGTCAACAAGATGGTATTGCAGCAGGGTCTAGCCGTGGTAGATCCAACACACCACCGCGCTCCAGCATGGCTGGGCTGCAGCACTTGGAACTCATTAACTTCAAGCAAGGCCACGGTTTCGCAGCCTTCTAGGGACCGACCCGCTTATTGTTTTCACTCGTTTGCGTTTGCATGGGGAAAGAAGTCGGAAAAGGCCGAGTACGCATTTTGCAGCCGCTGCTTCTCTGCTAGGAACCCATGTAACCAGCAAAGCTCCGAAAAGTGCAAGCCGCTGAAGCCGCTGTGCATGACAGGCTGATCTTGCACAGAGGAGCTAGCCTGGTCTGGAGATACCTCGCCGGTGTCCTTTGCCATGGCTTCCTCTTCTGCTGCCTCTTCGGGAGAGCGATCCTCCTGGAAGACCTCGCTGCCGTCACTTCCGCCCGTGGCCAGCTTGGCTTTGGCGCCAGAAACGACTCGCAGGCCAATCTGGCCATAGTCCGGCACCTCCAGTGGCGCTCCACGGAGCTTGCCCTTGCGGCCTCGTTTCACGAAGTCGATCTCTGCCTTGTACAAGCGATTTAACTTTTCGTTCACCATGTCTTGAAATTTCTCGATGCGGCGCTTGCGGTAGTCCTCAAGACGCTCCCACCGGAGCTTACCGTCGATGGCACTGTCCATGTCCTCCGCCAATCTTTTTTGGCTCTGAACCAGCAGCTCCTGGTCCAAGGCGATCCTCTTTTGATCGCGCACCTGTTCTGCGAGAAGCTCCTCCTTCTCGGCGCCCGGAGTCCGCAGATTTGTCAGCTTGTCCTGGCCTTTCGCCAGGGTGCGGCTGTCCTTCGCCAGCTGCATCTGATCCTGCGCCACTTGAACTTGGTCCTTCGCGATCCGTTGCCGTCGCCACTGCTCTTGCGTGGTGGCTACGGCCACGGGGATCTCATCTTCTGGCCGTGTTGGCTCGAGGTAGGGAGGAGCAATGATGCGGCTCTGTGCCAAGAACTCATGACCTCCTGAGACTGAGTCTTCTGAGTGTCCTGCCGGCCCCTCTCGCCGCTCATCTCCTCCCTCTACTGAAGGCTTCGGCTCTCTGTCGACGGTTGGCTCTGCGGTGTCTGGAGGCTCCAGGATTTTCTCTTCTTTCCCTTTACGTGCCGCACCCTCTTGCTTCAAAGCCTTTGCATCTTGCCTCAACGACTGTATGTCCTTCTGCAACTTATTCTCTTCCTCCTCGTACTGCTCAACTCTTCGCTTCTCCTTCCTAAGCTGCTTCTTTGCGGCTGCTTCTGTCTCGTCCATCCTTTTGGTTTGCTCTGTCTCGAGCTTCTGCAACTTCTCCATGGACTCGGACGGCTCGTCGTTGAAAACCCTTTGGTCAGTAGGATCCTTGCGGGGTGGACCTCCCAGCATTTTGCCAGTGTCCAAAGCACCCTGCAGACCTTGCACTTCGCCGAAGCATGTGTGAGTAGCGTGCGCAGCTTGATAGGAGAGACGTGGGGGATGGAGCGCCGTCTCCACTGGCCACGCTAGCAATGCACCGACCCGCGCCATTTGACTGCAAGGTCATTAACCAGATCTGCCTAACTTCGAAAGCAACCTTTGGCGCTCCAGTTCCTGGAAGCGGGATACTCAACAAATATCATCTCTATACCACTGAGGTGTGCTGCTGGATTTCCACAAGGTGTCCAGAGAATGGGTTTGTTTGAGCCGGCTGCCTATGCCATGCCCGTGATTGCAGGTTTTGTGTCCTTTGGCCACAGGTAGATACCTTCTTGCATCCAGCCCCTCGATTCCTCTTGCAGCGGTGCCATCTATCCCGGTATTTTTTGGAGTGTTCGGGCTCACACTCGCGAGTGTGATGATTTAAACGAAATCCCTCTGCTCAAATGCTGTCAACATCTACGGTGCAAATAGATGTCTGCCCGAGACCCCAGGCAAGTTTTGCATGTGTCCATCACTGCTATCGGCCACATACCCCACCTGAGTGCAACACACATTATACAGTTACATCAAAGACCGAGGATACTCATACCCTTCAAGTCCTTGCTCATGCCTTGATCTACACCCTCCCTGTCGCCCGTATCACTCTCTCGGCCTCATTGGGAATGCTCGCATCAGCACCTCCAATCCCACAGGTCTTAGACGGGTGGTATCTTGATGCTAATGCAAGCCGCTCTACTCTGCGGGGCTATGCCAGGCAATGAGCTTCTCACCGCTGCACACCAACAGCTTCGCGACCGTCTCATTTTCTGACATGACCTGAACACTCTACCGTAAGCAGACTCACAAGAGGTGCATGCATCTCATGCGGCCCTGGGGTCTGACGGCGTAGTGTAGCCTCGGGCAAAACTTCGACTACGGCACAGCATGGGACACGTCTGGCACAAGACGGCACAAGCTGTGGCACAACACCTTCTCCTCCCTTCACCCGCCGCAGGCAAATATGCAAAACGTGAGCTGCACGAACGGGATGATCACAGCTGCCACCCACAAGGGCCCGGCGGGGTGTCACCACCTTCATCTTGCTTGCTGATGTGGGCTTTCACGTCCGGGACATCCTCAGCAAGCCAACGTCAGTGAAAAAAGGGGAACCAGTTTTCCGTACAACAGCACCTCATCAAGTTTCGCCCGCTGGGGAATGCAAATCGCCGCACAGCTGCCAGAAAAAACAATTCCAAGATATGGTTCGACGGTCGTAGCTTGCATGTGCTATTCTGAGGCAGTCGCCAACAGGAAATTGACCTGGGCACAAGCACATTTGCGGTTCGCTCGTAGAAACAACGCAATATTTCGATTGCTTTCGGTGTGCCATTTCCACATCTCCTCGATCTGCTGCCCAATGCAGCGGAAGCATGCCATCCTTGTCAACCTGGCGGCTCATACGTTCTTAATCACTGTGGGTGGCTGACGGCCTTGTGATCACCGCCTCTATTGCCAGCTTGGGGAACTGGCGAAGCAGTGCACATGCCTCCTTGCAGCTCGCTTTTCTAAGTCCGGAAACGCAAAAGCATCGCGCCCGCGACCCGCGACCTCCACAGCGCCGTCTGCGATTTTCTGACAAAGCTGCCCTGCAGGCGTCTCATCCTTATCCAGGACGCATGTAGTGCCCGTGTATCATCAATGTGACCAAGCGTGTTTCGCTTCCGTGACGCGCTAACCATGCTACGTGCAGAAAAGATCAACGAGAAACAGGTCTGAGATTGCCACCACATCTGCCGGATTCCCAGGGCCTCAGTTGCAAGGGCCCCACCACAAAATACCACAAAACGAGTCAGTGCCACAGCTCTTGGAAAGCTCAGCTTGCCACCGATGCAACCCAAAGTGCTCACGGCAGGGCCCATAGATCTTCAATGCATGAAACTCAAAGCAAGCTGGCACGAAGGTCTGTCCGCCCGAGAAGAGCACAAGCCATCACCTCTGTCTGGTGAAGCTCCAGTTTCTTCAAGAGCTCCTACAACTCATGTATTTGCCACTTGTGATCCCAGGACAGCTGCAGCCCGCAGACATGGAAAGCCATCGAAAGCCTCCAGATGTCCACTCCGGAGCATATTGCTCCAGAGCCTTGACCTTCTTGGGGTTCGCAGCAGTTTACAAGAATCCACCGGAAGAGGACAGCTGGGAGCAGGCGTAAGCAAGCTGGGCCACCTCTTTCTCATAGCCTGTTCCAGACATGCAATCACAATGCAGAGGATGTCAGTTTGCGACGTGGCCTCTAACTTGGTTCCAAGCATCCCACTTGGCCGCACCCTGCACGTGATGGTTGCAGCATGCTTTCCGGTGCGGAATGAGAAGCTCGCTGCCTGCATGCTGAAGGGTTGACTCCCCTGACAATCACCTCAGAAACGACAGCAAGAACGACCGGGTGTCGATCTGAGCTGGCTCAGCCCTCGGCCACAGGTCGCCTGCTTGTACCAAGCGTAGAGCTCTAGGGCCGCACTTGTACTCAACCCGGATCCATGCTCACTGACCTGAAAACTAGAAAGCGAGTAGTTGAGTAGTGCGGAAGCGGAATGGTTCCGAATGCAAAGAGGCCGATGCCCAAGCTGCAGCCATCTCGAACCTGGGAGCTTTTGAACAATGGCATCCAAAATCCAAAGCAACAAGCAGAAGCAGAAGGGGATCTCATCTCTTGTTTCTCACTTTTGGTGAAGCATGACCTCGGCCAAGGCGACTGTGTTCTTCAATAGCATGGCCACCGTCATGGGGCCCACTCCACCCGGAACTGGTGTGATCAGGGAGGCCTTCTGAGCAGCACTTCCGAACTCTACATCGCCTTGCAAACGATAGCCACGTTTGCGAGTAGCATCCGGAACACGATTTATACCAACATCCAGCACCACCACACCAGGTTTAAGCCAGTCGCCCTTTACAAAGTTCGCGCGTCCGACAGCTGCCACAAGAATGTCGGCATCGGAGCACGCTTTGGCTGTGTCTTTCGTGAATCTGTGGCAAAGCCTTACAGTTCCATTCGCTTTGAGCATGAGAAGCATCATAGGCATGCCGACAATGGCAGATCGGCCGAGAACAACACAGTTTTTGCCTTCAACGCCGACCTGGTACCTTCGCAACATCTCCATGCAACCTGCCGGGGTGCATGGCAAAGCCAGTGGGCAACCATGCGGACGAGCAAGAAGCCCCAGGTTTGCACTGCACAAGCCGTCCGCATCTTTGTGGACAGATATGCTATCCAGGACAAGCTGCTCGTTGATGTGCGCCGGCAGTGGCAACTGAACCAGTACACCATGGACCCGCGGATCTTGATTCAGTTCCGAAATCTGGTCCAACAGCACCGTCTCCGTCACGGCCTCTGGGAAGTTGATGTTGAATACCTGGCATCCGACCTCTTCTGCAGCTTTGGTTTTGCCTCGTACATATGATTCAGAATCGGGTCTGCTCCCCACAAGGACAACCGCCAGACCCGGTTTCAGGCCCTGTGCGTGCAGCAAACGTGTACGTTCCCGAAGCTCTTCTCGAACTTCAGCAGCCGTGGCTTTGCCATCCAGGAGTCTCGCAGCACCGGCTACGAGTTTCCTGGCACGGACCCCCAGGGCACCAACTGTTCCAGCCAGCAGCCCCAGGAACGAAGGGCAAGCACAGGATCCTGCCACCTCGGGAACGCGACAACGAAACGAGTTGCCGATGGCATCAGCTTCCAACTTTGGCCACCGTGCCTGAGATCTTTGTCTGGTCGAGGCATATGGAGCTCCGAGGCTCAGCGAAAACACGTGAGCTGGTGCCACCTGGCAGCTGCCCGGCCTCGCACTGCATAGCTGCATGGCTGCCAAGTAATCACAAACACAGCGCTGATTATTGAGCAAGTCAGCGGGTGCTGATCTTGCCTATGTGTTGGTCACGACGTGCTGTCGCTGATGTTCGTCGTGTACATATTCTATGAGCCAACACAAGAGCAAGATCTGGTGTCACGTAAAATGATGAATCAGCGCTGCCTTACTGGGTAGCCGGCGTTTGTGCAGCAGCGTGTTTGCCCTGCAGCTGTACTCAACTTCAATACCACCGACAATAAGCAAAGCCTGTCATGTTGCTAAAACGGCGCCTCGTCATCGCCCAAGACTTGTACCATCGAGGCAGAAATTCTCCTTGTAAACAGCACCCTGCCACCCGCTCGGACAGCTCCGTAAAAGGGGATGATGTCCTTGCAGTGCCTTGATGCCTCGCTTTCTGCCATAATATGTACACCTGCCGAAACATACACGAAAGCTGTAACGATCGGCGCAATTCACAGATCCCGCCAGCGGAATGGCAACTGTGGCTGCCGCGACAACCACCGTGGCCTTTTGTCAGCATGTTGACCCATGCAAAAATGATGCAACCCAAAACTGGAACTTGAGCGGCCTTCGAACTGGATTGCAGGTTCCACATGGCGCAGACAACTGCTAGTGAGCAAACAATTTCTATCTCAAGGCCTTGTTACACATAATCGAAAATTACCGGGCCCGGTTAGCTTCGAACCCGTTAATGTGCTACGTCGTAGTCTACCGGACCTTGCCGAACCACCCGCTGCATAGCGTCCCTCCACAATGCGTTGCCACGCGCCAACTAGGGCTCAGTACGTCTCATCATCGGGCAACAAAAGCAAGTCAACAGCAAGAATAATTGCGGTTTGAAGCAGCCTGACATGGTGCACGTGAGCAAAATCGACCACACTGCTTCATTCACAGCGTTGATAGCAATCGGTGATTCAAATTCTTACATCCACATACATGGCACACGGGTTATTTGGCCGAGGTAGCAGCAACTAGTGTGGTTCACCCCACATGCCCTTCGGCGTGCCGTTCCTGGCCGCCGCCTTACGATGGGGGTTGGAAGCGGTGCGGGTGACGTTGCGAACAGCCGCCCAGCTGTGTACGGCCTGCAGAGAATCCGCTGCGAACGCTGTGCTCACCGGCGCGCCTCACTAGTGCTTTTTTCCCCTCGATTTTTTCCGCTTAGTGCCGCAGCTACATCGCCCCGGTCCCGAGTTAGGGCCGAGGCAAGCGGTTGGGGCCTTCGTTGGCGGCAAGGTCGAGAACACGGCCCAGTGCGGGGCCGTCGGCAGCCGGCCACGCGCAGCCCAAGGCCGTGCCCGCAACGGCGCGCTGGACCGCAACAGAAAGGGCTACCCACCAACGTCTGGCCCAGCCAAAACACGCCACGGCGCGCACTGCTGGCGCGGCGAGCACGGAGCCGGATTATAGCTCGCGAACAAAACACTGCGCAGCAGTGCTCCAGCGGCCTCCTATCTCCGAGCCCGGGACCAAAAGCTTCTGTGGGCCGCCCCTCGCGAGTTGGGCGTACGTGCAGGGCTTGCGTCGCTCCGCGACCTTCAGCGCCGCCCCGTCCACTTCGACGGTCCACGGACGCGGGTGACCCGTTCTTATAGGGGAGGACGCCAGTGTTGCTTCGCAGCACAGCGCTCCTCCGTTCGCGGTGGCCCCGTCAACGACGAAGTCGAGGCAGCGGTGGTCGTCGGCTGGGAGGCCTGATGCGGTCGTGTGGGCGCGCCACTGCTGCACTTTGGGCTGGGGGATTTGCTCCTTGTCGGAGCTGCTTGCATGCATGGAGGCGGGCGGCGAACGCGAATTGGCCGAGCTGGCCACGACCCTCGAGCAGTTGCCGACTACGCTGTTCTGTACAATCCTACAACAAGCAATGGAGTCGCACGCCCATGCCCCGGCTCCACTGCACCGTTCAGTCCATGCATGAAGCTCGGATTGCGCACCACACAGCGGCGCCCTGCTGCCCAAATGAGTCGTCGTCAAAACCCCGGTTTGGCGCCATTATCCTATGCATCAATCGCCTTCAGAACAATGTGTCAAAAGCATCCTTGCAGCCGTCGCTGCCCGATCTGGTGGCACATGCACAGAAGCCCAGCTCTTCCTGCAGGTGGCCGAGTTCACACGAGTTATTCGCTTGAAAGCAAAGAAAGTGCCCAAGGAAGGTATTCATGTGGAGCGCTATCCGGCTGCTGGGCCTCGCGAGCTACCGGATGTTTTGTTCAAGGCGGCCTACGACGACAATGATGGGCCGGTTACCACTTTGTTGCCGGCGGGGCAGGTGGCACTGAAAGCCATGGACATTTCGCTCAGGCCAACGAACAAAAAGGTCAGAGGGATATTTGCAACTTCGAACAAGGCGACCTCTGCCATGGTGCCTGCAAATGGTATGGGTGGCATGAACCCGGGCATGATGGGTGGCATGAACCCGGGCATAATGGGTGGCATGGCTGGCATGATGGGCATGTGTGGCATGCCTGCTGCTTCGTCGATGTTCGGCCTCATGCAGTGGATGAAACAGCAGCAGGAGGCGATGCAATCGGCAGGATTGAACAACCCCGCAGCTCAAGTTCGACACCGGCATGTCCCACCAATTGAGGTCCCTCTTGATGGTCCGTGCGAGACCCATCATGTCGGGAAAGGAGAGATTGGCGGCCCATGGCGGATCGTCGTCGATTCCTAAGACCACGTTGAGCGTCTCCTCCTCGATCGCCTCCGTACGGTGGTTGTCACCAGCAGAACTTCCAAGGCCAGACCCACGCCCAGGTGTCACGGATCGCTCGCCCATCTTGCCTCGTCGCAGGAATCCAGATCGAGAGCGGCCAGGTGTAGAGCTCCTCGAGATGTAGGCCTCATCTCACCACTACCCATGCGAGTCCCACGAGGGGTACTCCTTGGAGTCTGGTGGTATCCAGACAAGAAGCCAGCCTCCTATTGCTCTTCAAACCAGGTCCCATTCGTCGGCCATGCAGGCTTGGTTGTAGAGGGTTTTGTTTTCCTGCTCCAACTCTTTGTTTGCCAGCTCCAAGGCCACAATGCGGTCCTTGAGTTTAAAATTTAGAGTTCTCGGTCTGAAGTCTCTCGAGGCACGGATCGCCCTGTCTCGCCAGTCCATGTGGGTCCACCTCCACCGTCGCTTCCAGAACCAGAGCCAGTGCTGCGAGGTGGCCCGTACTAAGCTCCACGTGGCATCTTGTTCCCGCATGTTCCCGCCAGAGGGCTCGGGAGGCGGCGGTGGGGAGCCACTCTGGGAAGGAGCTGCATCGGAACAGGATTGGTAGGAACGGGGTACCGTCTTTTGGCTGCTTGTTCGGGGTAGTGCTGCTCCGGACAAAGATTTATCCGGGGGTTCCTGGGAGTGCCGTCCCGGCACGGCAGAAAGGTCCTGGGTTACCCATACGGGTCTTCGCTGGCATGGCCTCGAATAGCAATCGTACGGCTTACCGTCAA